CAGCATAAGGTTATTTAGTTTCCATGTTTTTGTATGAGTATGCAGATTCCTGTTGTTACTGAGTTCAACTTTTATTACATGATGGTTCAAGAAGATGCAAGGAATAATTTCTATTCTTTTAAATTTGCTGAGGTTAGACTTTTGACCTAAGATGTGATCAATTTTGGAGGATGTTCCATGGGCTGATAAGAAGAATGTGTATTCAGTTTTGTTAGGATGAAATGTTCTGTAGATGTCTGTTAAATCCAATTGTTGAATGGTTAAGTTTAATTCTAAAATTTCTTTGCTGAGTTTCTTATTGGAGGATCTATCCAACACTGCCAAAAGAGTGTCAGTCAGTCTCTAACTACTATGGTGCTGGAGGAAATCAAGTTGCTCATGTCTGTTAAAGTCTCTCTTATAAATTGAGGCACATTCTGGTTGGGTGCATCAATGTTAATAATTGAAATCTCATCATGCTGAGTGTTTCCCTTAACAAATATGAAGTGACCATTCTTATATTTCCTTACTTTTGTTGGTTTAAAGCCTATTGTATCTGCAAATAAAATTGCAACACCTACTTATTTCTGATTTCCATTTGCCTGAAATATAGATGACCATCCCTTCACCCTGAGTCTATATTTATCTTTTAAGGTAAGATGAGATTCTTGTATGCAGCAAATATCTGGCCTGAGTTTTTGTATCCAGTCAGCCAACCTGTGCCTCTTCAGAGGACAATTTAAGCCATTCACATTAATTGAGAATATTGATAAGCCTGGTAGAATTTGGGGTATCCAGTTTTTCAAAAGTCCAGTGGACAGTTTTTAATCTTTTCACCACTGTGGAAGGGGAATTTGATCAAAAGTTTCTGAGTGAGTTTACTTTGGTGGTAGAGGATTGTGCTGGTCATTATGGAGGATAGTTCTGAGACTATCCTGGAGAGCTGGTATAGTTATGGCAAATTAATTCAACATGTGAATATCATTAATTAATTTAATTTCTCTATCATAAATGAAACTTAGTTTAGATGGATACAGATCCTGGGTTGAAAGTTATTTTCTTTTAGGAGATTAAAAGTCGATGACCACCCTCTTCTGGCTTGAAAGGTTTCAACAGAGAGATCTGCAGTCATTGTCTCCTTGGCTGCTGCACTCTGCCACCAGCTGGCCGAGGGAGCTGATGCCTGACAACCTTGGGTGCTTAATGGAAGCTGGGTTCACTCAGTTCCAGCCCCGCCCCTGATTTATGTTGCTGCCACTTATATTCTCATTGAATTTGGGTTTCTGTCCCGGCTATATTCCCCCTGCAGGCCAGGCACTGTTTGAGTTCACAGAAACCGCGACTCAGCTCTGTCCTGTGCCGCTGCCTGGAGCTGGCATCTCTGTTCTGCTGCACTCTGTGTTTGGGCGGACACAGTTAGAGCTCACACTCAGCTCTCAATTCCTGTCTCTCCCTGGGCTGGTGCTGTTGCCTCACCTGCTTTTGTCTCAGCTATGATCCCCTGGGGGCGGGGTGAATCTTAGGCTCACTAAAGCAGCACTTATGACTCAGCCCTGCCCTGGGAGCATGCCATCTCTGCACATGCAAATTCTAGTCTCCATCCCCATCGCACCCTGCCCAGGCAGGTACTGCCTCAGGCATACCCTTTGCTCATGGAGCCTGCGTTTCCATTCCATATCTGTTACGCCACTAGCTGCCACTGGATTATAGGCCTGGCTTTCTCTGGTTGCCAAGACAGGTGGGGAGTGTCTCTCAAAAATATTCCCAGGGGTGTGAGCCCTATTGTTCCCGCTGCTGCCACTGCTGCTCTATACCACAGGGCACTGCTTCTCCCTCTCCCATATGGTTCCCTCGGTCCAGTCCTCTGTTTACACCTGTGCCACAGAATCAGCACAGACCTGCAACAGCCCGTGCCTTGTCCACACCTCTCGAGAAAATGCCCAAGAATCTGGATTCCATGGGGAACAGGCTTCCAGACCTTGGGGTGAGAGTGGAGGGAAGTGCTAGGAGTTAAGAATTGCAGGTAGAGAATATATACAGTTGTATGCCTGGTGGGAGAGTGCCATGGTACACTAGTGGGTCCTCTCTGGGGAAGGAGTTCTGGTTTTTAGAGGGTCTCTCCCATGGGATAAAATAGGAGGAGACATGAACTCTGCTCACTTGTTTGTAGAAAGTATACTGTAATCCATTCTCATGGGGGAGGGGACTTCCATCTGCTTGGTGATGGATTTTGTACCTATTGTTTGTTTCCTTGGGGTTGCAGCTCACCTCAGCAGGGTTGACGTGCAGTTGATGTTCTTCAACCTTCTCTCTTGGCTCAGCTCCAAACCATCAGTTTACTTGCTAAACTTCTGTCCTTTAACTCTCCTTCTGGATGGGAGCCTCTATGGAAAGCAGGCTCCAGTCAGCCATCTTGCCTCTGCCCCCCCTTGCTTCTTTCTATATCAGTGGTTCTCAACCTTCCCAATGCCACAACCCTTTAATACAGTTCCTGTGGGTTGCAACCCACAGGTTGAGAACTGCTGTTCTATACAATAGCTAACTTCCTTTCAGATACAATAGACCTTCATAGATGACCAACTCCCTACATTGACCACATCCTTAAGTTGACCTAATTTTCATAGACTGGACATGCATATGTGCCTATCAGTATAGTAGGCCTAGTTCCTTATGTTGAACACCTCTCTGTGTGTTTGCCAGTTTGTTATAGTCCCTTGGGTACTCAACTTACAGAGATTCTACTATATTATCCTGGACCTCTGGCCTTGTTGAAAACATGAAAACTTTTATAGATACAGTTTACCTTGCATGACTGTTTCTCCATAGTTAGGCTTAGTTTACTTAGATAGAAGAGCTGGTTTCATTTTGCAAAAGCCAGAGAATGTGTTTTTAATTGACAGAAGGCCAAGGGAACATGATTTCTAATGCTTCTCCAGGAATGAAATTTCTTCTTAGAATTCTGGTGGAGAAGTAAAGGGCTTTTCTGAGTGTTCTTCCTCTGTAAATCAAGCTAGCCCTTGGAATCCTCAAAATCACAGCCCTCTCTCACACATTAGAGAGCCCGACAAACATTTCTCTGGGCATCTGTGAGCTGCATTATAATGACAGAGGTTTGTAGCTCTTCAAACTTCCTAAAGATGTAAACAGTAACCCATTCCAAGAAAGAGAGCAGAATTGTGTTGAAACTTGCTGCAAGGGAGTTTCTCTTGCCAACGCCCTAACGTGGTTGCCTATGCCACTGCCAAAGCTTGCTTACACATTTTCATCACTCAAGAGAAAGCTTCTGCTCTCTGTTAATGTGGCATAATTATGTGCCAGAAAGAAGACAGATTTGATTTTTCAGATAGCTCTTGATTATCCACACAAATGGAGGAGTCAGAGACACGGAAGATAGAAAAACCATTTACCCCACACCTTTACCCATGTGGTGCAAAGCACAGTCCTATTTGGGAACTAATAAGCAGTGGGAAACACCTTCAGCAACGCTTGGACCCTGTTGAGAACAGAGCCTCTCTCCTGGACAAGATTAGCTTTAATCCTTGAAGAACTGCACACATCACCATGTTATATAATAATAAAAAGCATTTAAAATTACTTCTATACTTTTTTGTTTGCAAAAAGAAAAAACAATCAATATATTCCTCTTGGTCTTTCACGGCTTCTGTGTACTGCTAGGATTTCACCTCTAGCCTGTAGAGCTGATAAGAAACAATACTTTTCACATCTATAGAGTAGTTCTACTAAGAAGGTTGCAATCTCCAAGAATCTTCACAACTTTTGCAAACTCTTCATGAGTGAACACATTCTGTCACGGCAAGAATGGTAGTAGCCTGTTTAGACTTATTTGATAGTCTCTTTTTTGTTTTTTTGAGACAAAGTCTCACTTGGTTGCCCAGGCTAAGAGTTCCCAAGTGTCAGCCTAGCCCATAGCAACCTCAAATTCCTGGGTTCAAATGATCCTCCTGCCTCAGCCTCCTGAGTAGATGGGTGCCTGCTACAGTGCCTGGCTAATTTTAGTAGATGGGGGTCTTTCTCTTGTTCTGGCTGGTTTCAAACTCCTGAGCTCAAGAGATCTTCCTGCCTTGGCCTCCATATCCTAGGATATGGCAACTCACTAGCATACCATCATGGACCCCTGTCCAACAGTGGCTTTTTCCATTCCTCTACCATGAAGGGAGGCCTAATCCTCTTCCTTAATCCCAGAGTGCTAGGATTACAGATGTGAGCCACTGTGCCCCACATAATTGATATTTTTTATTTTGAGTCTTATTTTATTTTCTTTTTAAATCTTATTTCTAAAAAAAAATCACATAAATGACTGGGCATGGTGGCTCACTCCTGTAATCCCAGCACTTGGGAGGCTAAGACAGGTGGATTGCTTGAGCTCAGGAGTTCAAGACCAGCCTGAGCAAGAGTGAGACCATATCTCTAAAAATAGCTGAGTGTTGTGGCAGACACCTATAGTCCCAGCTACTTGGTTCTCAGCTGAAGCAAGAGAATCACTTGAGCCCAAGAGTTTAAAGTTGCTGTGAGCTATGATGACATGGCATTCTTCAGAGGGTGACAAAATAAGACTCTGTCTCAAAAAAAGTCACATAAATAATTTCTACCTTTCTATAGGTATGAATTTTTCACATCAAAAAATGGGGGGAAATGGCACAATACATATTAGCTGTAAAAACTTTGGCAGATATAGTAGAAAGTTAAAGTCTCCATTACCTCCTAATACTACTCTTCTCTCTAGATATAACCACAATTAATAGTTTGCTTATGAATATTTCCAGGTTAATTTATTTGCGTTTACACGCATACATATATAATTGTTTGGGTCTATTTTACATAAATTTGGATCATGCTAAATTAATTTTAAATAGATTTTTCAAAAAGTAAAAAATATATCCTGTATAATCATTGTTCATCAGTAGCTCAGAGTATTCCATAGTATAGATGTTCCAGGTTTATTTAACCATTCTCCTAGTGATGAATTTTTAATGTTGTTTCTAATTGGTGTTTTTCTGCAGAATCCAACTCTCCCGGCCCTGAACTGTTCTGTTGAAAATGTCCATCCAACTGTTTCTTACTATGCTCGTCCCCAAGTGGCATCCTACAATACCTACTACCATAGTCCTCCTCACCTGCCACCCTATTCTGCTTATGACTTTCAGGTATGTTTTGAGAGAGAAAAAACTATTGCCCTTACTCTCCCCCAATGCTGTATTGTTGTCTCCCTAAATTCAATTATAGAATCTTCCCATTGAATTCATGATATGTATGAGGTAGCCAGGCTCTTTATCCCTGATAGCCTTTAGCAGTTGGTGGGTGCTAACTTAAGGACTACATAGGCAGGCAACGATGGGAGAGATGGGGAAGGTGGGAACTTCCAAAGAAGAGAAGAAACAGAGAGACAGAAGAAAAAGGGAGAGAAGGAGGTAAAATCAAGGTGTCCAAAATTGTCTTGAACTATACCAAGAAGAAGACAAGTTGGCTAGGATATGGCAACTCACTAGCATGCCACCATGGGCCCCTGTCCAACAGTGGCTTTTTCCATTCCTCTGCCATGGAGGGAGGTCTAATCCTGTTCCTTAGCATTAAGGGCATGCTGAACCATACAGGGTTTTAAATCAAACTTGTAATAAGGAAGAAGATCCTCTGTTTGTCTGCAGACTTCTTAACTAGGATTACACAGAGAAAAACATTTTTATAACACCCCTCCCCTTTTTTTGCCCTGTTATCACATAGGTCAGGGTGTTACCAAATTTGCGCTTTCCCCTTTTCCTTTTGAGTTGAGACTTCAAGTACAGAAAAACAGAACCCAGAAAGGCATGTAATTAAAAGGAATTCAGTGTATGCAGAACACTGAACTAGGAACTTAGGAAAAACAAATGAAATCGTCCTTCAGCCATGAACAGAGAAGTGGAGTCATATTAAAATCTAGTTAATTAAAAACTAGAAGGCCAAAGTAAATACCTCTTAATGAAGGGAAACTTGTAATGAATTTATTTCTATACATATATATTTTTTTGAGACAGAGTCTCAAGCTCTAGCCCTGAGTAGACTGCCACGGAGTCACAGCTCACAGCAATCTCAAAATCTTGGGCTTAAGCAATTCTCTTGCCTCAGCCTCCCAAGTAGCTGGGACTACAGGCACCTGCCACAGCGACAGGCTATTTTTTTGTTGTTGCAGTTCTCATTGCTGTGTTTTAGCTGGCCGGGGCCAGGTTCGAACCTGTCAGCCTCAGAGTATGTGGTTGGCACCCTACTCACTGAGCTACAGGAGCCACTCTGAATTTGTTTCTATTGATCAAGAGCTGATGAATGCTCCGAAGAGATATAAAAACATGACTGTTTAGGATCCCTTACAATTATCAGCCAGTTTGACAATGCAAAGCCCTTGGGCAACCTATTTTCAACGTAAGTTTAGCAAAATAATTGAAACTTAAAGTTTCTATTAGGTTGAATAATGTGATGTTGTGTTTGGTTTAGATACTCTTTGGAGAGGTCTAGGGCCCTATAATGTAGGAATAATATATATAGTGTGAACATGGACTTGTCCGATGGTATAAAATACAGTACTAGTTCAAGGAGGCATCCATCAAAACTTGGAAAAACTGATCTTAGAATTTGTTTTAGCCAGGCACATTTGCTCACACCTGTAATCCCAGCACTTTGGGAGGCTGAGGCTGGTGGATTATCTGAGCTCAGGAGTTGGAGACCAGCCTGAACAAGAGAGAGACTCCAGCACTACTAAAAATAGAAAAGCTAGCTGGGTGTTGTGGTGGGCAGCTATAGTCCCAGATCCTTGGGAGGCTGAGCCAAGAGGACCACTTGAACCCAGGAGATTGAGGTTGCTGTGAGCTAAGACACCATGCACTCACAGACAGAATGAGAGTCTGTCTCAAAAAACAAAAAAAGAATTTGTTTTAAAGCCTATTGTATACACAGGTAGGCAATTCAGGTAACTTGTTACCCAAATAGGTGGTATAGACTGGAAACCACAAATACATTTAAGAAAGGCACAGATAATTTCAGTAGTGACAGAGGCAAAAGGAATCTTTTAAGAGAATGCAGGATGTTGAAGCTAACACAAGGAGGATTACTATTCTTTTTGGGGACCCTTACAATAAAAAGTCTTTGTGGCATGGGGGGGGTGCACATGGGTCCAACCCAGAGGTTTCTTCCATGTTTATATTGAAGTAAATGACATTGACTTTAGGAATTTACACTTTATAATGAACCCTTTAAATAGGGACAGTAGTATCCTTGGTGATGGTTGCTGCAAACTCTAAGAAACCCTTCTTTAGGATATGGAGCCATCTCCCTGTCAATCATTCCTTATTCAAACCCTATCCTGAGAATGGAAATGAGACTGACAATACCAATGGTGACTCAGGCTGTCGGTTTCAGTTCAATCAATGTTTACTCTTGAGTTCCCTTGTGCCAGACACTGAGCTAGAAGTTGTGGATTTAGAGGTTGAATGAGACAGTCCCTGCATTAAAAGATCAGTCTAGGGAGTTGGCTGGGGGCATGGGGTCAGGGGATAGTAGGAGGGACAAAAAAGTAAATAGACTCTTACCCAGAGTTATGGTAACGGTACCTCACCTAGAGAAGGGCTTTAGATTTAGCCACCTAGTCCAAACCTACACTGTGGGCTTATATTAAGGACTTTATGGCTTATAGAAGCCTCTCCATTTAATAACAGCTACTCTTCGTTGAGCACTTGTTAGGTACTGAGCATTGTGCTAAGGGCTTTACATATATCATCATTCAATCATTTACCCCCTCGAGAGAAGCACACTTGTCATTGCCATTTTTAAGATGAGATGACTGAATCACAAAAAGGTTAAGTGACTTCTCCAAAGTTACAGAGGTGGTGAGTGGAAGAGGAAGTAAGGGTTTATATCCAGGGCTATCTGATTTCAGAGAATAACTTGAGGGATTCTTCGGAGAAGCCATGAATCTAAAGTGCAGTATACATTTTTTTCCCAGTTAATTTGGGGATATTGTACTGGATGCAGTTATGATCTAATTAAATAAATAAATAAACAAACAAATAAATAAAAATAAATTTGGGGATATTTATACTTTCTGCTGTTTTAAATTATCAGCTTCCTAATCACAGACCTCAGAAAGGGTCTCTTTACTCTTTCTCATTTATTAAGTCAACCTCCCTTCCAGGGATTCTCTTCCTTCATGTATCCCCAATCAGGGGCTGCTTGGGCATTTTTATCCATCTCCCAGTTCTTACCCTGGGCTCAAGCTCTCTTTTATAGTTCTTGTTTAGAGACTTTATAGTTGCATGACGTAAGTCTTGAGGGAATATGTTTCTAAGTGATTTCTCTCTTGAATTTAAAAGGTGTTTTGTTGTTGTTAGAGAGGGGATCCCCCACTGTCACCCAGGCTGGAGTGCAATGGCCTGATGGTAACTTACTGCAGACTCAAACTCCTGGGCTCAAGAGATTCCTTCTGCCTCAGCCTCCCAAGAAGCAGGGACTGTGGGTGCATGCTACCACACCCAGTTAATTTTAAAAATTTTGTAGAGACAGGGTCTTGCTGTATTGCCCAGGCTGTTCTTAAATTCCTGGTTTCAAATGATCTTCCCACAGGAGCTTCCCAAAATGCTGGGACTATAGGCATGAGCCAGCCATCACACTCAGCTAAATGGTGTTTTTTATTTTAGCATTTCAATTGAGCTTTCTTTTATTCACCAAGTTCTAGTCCCTTATAGTTTCATGGGAGAAAATACCAGTCTCTATCCAAGAAAGCCAAGAGGACAGACAACATCTGCTTAACTTCCCTGATAAGTAAAAAACAGTCAGCAAACACACAACCACTCTGACAAGAAAACCAGCAGAAGCACAAATGTGATTGGAAGATGACCTAAGTGACAGACAAAAAATTGACCTTTCTGGACTTTCCTCTGAACAACTTCCCCTTTTTGGTTATTTGCAAATGAGACTATTTTTGTAACTTTGGATTTGATGATTTCTGTTTCCTTTTGACCCTGAGGCTAATAGAAGGATGAGGAAAAAGACTAATAGGGTTTGTTTTGACCCCTAAAAATCATGCCCTGATTGGGCTGCTGTCCAGTTAGGAAGCTTGGGAACCATTTCTTATGGTCAGACATGAGCCATGAGCAAGGCCCTGGGTTTGGTCAGCTGGCCCTGAGGAGGTTTAAAGTGCTGAGCTTGGAGAACTAAGGCTCTCTCAAGCGCTGGACTCCAGGTTGTCCTTGCTTAACTCCAAAGCAGGAAAGACATTAGCTGAGGCTACTTGTGCCTCCTTGCTCATCACCCCCATTACTCACTTTCCTTTCTCCTTGTTTTTTTTTTTTTTTATGAGACAGAGTCTCACTTGATCACCCTCCATAGAGTGCCATGGTGTCTTATAAGGCTCACAGCAACCTTAAACTCTTGGGCTTAAGCTATCTTCTTGCTTCAGCCTTCAAGTAGCTGGGACTACCGATGCCCACCACAACGCCCGGCTGTCTTTTAGAGATGAGGTCTCCCTCTGGCTCAGGCTGGTCTTGAACCAGTGAGCTCAGGCGATTCACCCGTCTTGCAAGTGCTGGGATTACAAGCGTGAGCCACTGCGCCCGGCACACTTTCCTTTCTCTTTGCACTCATTTCCCCACTACCCCTTTAGCCTCAGCCAAAACCTGTAGGGCATAAAGCATCACTTTCTACTCCTGCTGAGAAATTGAACCCAGTGTAGCTTTTTATAAATCTCTTAAGGTTCCCAGCCATACTTCCCAGTCGGGCATTCCGGGCCCATCCTCCTACTTCATTCTAACCAGACTGGTCCCTTTCCATTGAGTGAATTGCCAAATTTAAACTTAAAACAAAGTCTCAACCTATACAAAATGCAAGCACCTCTGTTTATGCTGTTTATTAAGTCACTATGTTTCACCTTGGCTACTAAAAATGACTCATTATAAATTTGGACCATTGAATAAAAGGATTGTTATACTCCTGAGAAAGGCAGTGTATGGCACAAGTTGCTGAGAGCCTTATAAGGCTGTTGCTGCTGTCAGTCAACATATCCCCCCTCTCCTGCCAAGCCTTTTCTTCCTCTCTTCCCTTACCTTGGTCCTGCCTCCCTTTTTCTTTTTCCTTTTATCCATTCTTCTCTCCATCACTCTGGCCTTTGCTTTCTGGGGCAGAATAGAGGGGGATTGCTAAGAGCCCACAGATCTTAGATTTCACCCTTGGGACACAGCATCTGTAACTAGTAATTATCACCAGCCAGTTCTATGGCTCTTATTGGAGTCACTGTCTCACAATGCTCCTGAAGAGAGAAGCATGCCCTTCAGAAATGCACATTGATCTTGAGGAGTGTGGGTCAGCCATGAGCCAGCGAGGAGGCAGGCTGAGGTGGGAAGGGAGAGCTGTCTGTGTTCCTAAAGGGTGGTGCTCCGCTTTGAGCACCATCAGCCAGTCAGCCACCCCAGCCTCCAAGAAGGAGCTCTGGAATCTGGAGATGACTAGGTCCAGCAGGCTATTTACATGCTCTTCATGATTTGTGGTGTGCAAGGATTGAAAGCTCTGTTCTCTTGAGCCGCCCCTGGCATTAGTAAAGTCAGACTCTCAGGCAGGAACCAAAATACACCAGGCCAGCTCCCCAGCTGCAAAAAAAAGCCAAATCTTTCCCAAGGTGCCTGCCTGTTGCTAGGAAACTGCACACTAGTACTGTGGGCCTTTTCCCCCTCAAATCCCAAGGGTGTGTGGACTGCAGCCAGTTAGCTCCCTAGCTCTGCCAGGAACCCTTCAATTTTATCCTTAAGACTTCCAGCATTCTCAAAGGGAAGTGAGAACCATCCCACCCCCTTCCCCTCAGACTTTCCGAACACGAAACTGAGAAGTGAAAACCTGAGGGCTGTTATTCCACCCCCTTTTGTTATCAAAGTGTACAACTGCCACCCACGGCAGCTGCTGCCCACAGAAGCCTTTTAATGCCTCCCAGGACAGAACTGCCTTTAGCATTACTGCAGGAAACTTGCCCTTCCCTCTGTGGCTAGGAGCCCCTAAAACCGGCCTGCTGCCTCTCTCCATCCCTGTAGTGGGATTTAGAGAGGCAATGTGCCACATGCCTGGGCACAGAGATTCTTGGCCTTGGTGGGTCTTGCGGTCCTCTCTAGTTAACTGGTGGGAGTTCTTAGTAGAACAGGAGGGAGGGAAAGAAGGAGGAAGGGAGAGTTTGAGGATGCAAGGTAGAAAATTAGGAAATTACTGTATTGATATTTTAGCTAAGGGTATCTTCTTGGAGGGAGAAAATTTGAGTTTTTAGGAAGGATTCTAGATTGTGTTTCGAGTCCACTGCCTCAAGTTATTTTGCCTTTAGAGGCGCCCCAAGTTCTTTGACCCTGTCATTCCTTTACTCACAATGAAATAATGGATGGGGTGGGGCAGGAGGATGATGATGTAGTCCCTTCCAGCCTTCAGGCTTCACCTGAGCCCTGCTCCACCACTGGAGCAAGGCAATGATATTCACACTTGAAGTTACAGTCACTCATTCAAGATTTATTGAGCACATACTGCTTGCCAAGCACTGTTACAAGCTCTGGGGGATATAGCCATGAACAAAAGAGGCCAATTCTCCTTGAGCAGGAAGTCACTAGGGTCAAAGGTATGAGTATACATAGGCCAGGGAAAGAGAAGGGCAAATGACTCCTAACATGCTAATTCACTGAGCATTTTTATTTTTTATTTATTTCAGAAACAGGGTCTCACTCTGCCGCCCAGGCTGCAGTGCAGTGGCTTGATTATAGCTCACTGTAACCTGGAACTCCTGGGCTCAGACAATCCCCTGCCTCAGCCTCCC